AACGCGCACAACTACAAAATATGGATAAAGTATCAACGGAAGATTTAGAACCAGAATTTGTCACTGAAGTAATTAAGACAGTTGAAAGCATTTTATCCACTTCAACCCCAAAGTATATTGGATCCTCTAAAATGACAGGATTATCGTTTACCAAATTTCTTCAAGGTTGTGTCGAAAAGATTAACGATACGTCAGATTCCAATGTTCAACTATCAATTCCGAACGAATATGAGTCTGTTATTAAATACATTACACAACAAACCATTGATCATTGTATTCAAATTTATACAACAAATATGAATTTAAAATTTCAAGAATTATATAATGTTGATGATATACGACAAGTTAAAGTAATTAATTGGAAAGAGTTTAATGAAATTCATATGGAAGTTTTTGCACAAGTTGAAAAAATATTTTTTAATAGTATCATTGGAAATGGAGATCATATAAGGAGATCTGAACTCAAATTAAATAAATTAATCAATGAAAAATTTGAAGAAAATCGTAAATCAAATTCTATGGCTTTATATGAGTATAATATGGAATTGGCTAAAAAATTATGGGATTACCATGTAAAAATTGGTCTCTCCGCCGATAATTTCTTTAAGGTAAGATGATTATGTCTTCCTTTCTTAAAAAACGTTGAATCTAATATTTCTTTAAACTTGATAGACCAAAGAGGAATTTAATGATGCGATCGAAAATTTTGAGAGAGATATGTCTAATATTTTAATGATAGATTGCCCAGAAACAGATATGATAAAGGCAAAATTTAAATCTCATGAATATCAGGAAGCGATCACAGAATTAAATTCGTTGCAGGTTTTCAACAATAAATTGGCAGATCAAATTAAAGAAACTCGAAAGGTTGAACAGCAAATTTTAGAAAAAACTGCTCGAGAAAAAGAAATGGAAAAGAAAATTTATAAATTAGAAAAAGAACTTAAACAAATTGTACATGAATATTCGAACAAATTTAAAGAAATGGAAGAAAATGTTAAGCAACAAAATATTGCAAATAATGGGATTTTAACTCAAATTAAACATGAAAATGAATCAATTTTAGCTAAAATTAAAAGTGAAAACGAATCAGAGATAGAATTATTAAAAGAGAAAACTAAAAGTTCTATGAAAAACAAATGGTATTGGGTTAAAACAGTCGGTGAAGGGGTTAGAGTTGTAGTTCAAATTGCTGATTTGGTCGTAGATATGGTTGACAATTGAAAATACGGGCGATAGTCAATAAAAAAGTAGGAAATCTAAATTTCGGTCAAAAAAAAATATTTTTTTTTTTATTGGGTTGACTGATCATAGTCATGTGCACAAAATTGGCTTAAGAACCAAAAAATTATTTCCCCTCTCATATATAAATTAAAAAATTATAAATTTAAACAAGGATTATTAGTAAACAAATTTTTCCAAATGAGCCTTATTCAACCAAAAAGGATCTAACTATGACTGAGTCTACTCTTAACTAGGTAATCCTTTCTGTGATTTTTAATACACTTTAATGCTAATACTTTACATTAAAACAGTAACTAAAAAATCAATGTAACATAATCTTCTGTAAGCCGTTGGCAAGTACAAAAAGGTCTACTTCTTAAGTTTAGTAAAAAAAATGTATATTTAATATATTAATTATAACATGAAAGAAATAACATATCCTTACAAGACAAAATTTATGGCAAATGGATACATAATAAATATTCAAATAATTAACTTGTAATTGTCCAGGTATAAAATTTGATTTATTTTAATTATGATCATTATTACGTATTACATTAACAATATAAATTCCACTAAGTGGTTTATACCATTCTCCCTATTAATGTTCTCTTGCAAATCGGTCGTCTGCTTGTATTTCCTAGAAAGATTAAGTTTGGTATTGAGGAGGGCATTTTACTACGTATAAATACTGCAATAAAAAAAAAAAAAAAAAAAAAAAAAAAAATGCTAATTTATTAACATAAAAGTATTTATATCCAAAAGATGTTCTATGTAATAAAGGCTGTTTTGTGTGTGTGTCTAATTGTTTGAATACAAATTGTTAACAATCGTAAAATCTCGTATGAAATTAGCAATTATAATTTAATTATAAAGAAACTTATTTTAACAAAAATTTTAATTTTAATCATTTTTTCAATTTTGCATACATTTTATGATAATACGAAGAAAATTAAACGAAAAGATGAAATATTGATATATCATTTCGGTTGATAAGTTCGATTCCGACTCTAACGACTATCACTGACATCACTTAACCATTTTAAGCATAAACTTTTTAATAAGTCACTGATTCAGGAAAAGTTTGCAAATTAATTTTTTAGTTCAACCAGCGTTTCTAATACTGAAATTAGACCAATTACTAATTAATGTTTTCGCTAAAATATGTTGATGACGAATTGACAGAGTATGTCTCCTTTTTATCGTTATGACTTGCAATCTTTCGATATGCAACCACATATGGAGATCTTTGTTTGGAAATGCAATTTACGTTATCGAAGTATCCATATTCTGTTGATTTTTGATTTTTTATACCAATATAAGATTATAATGCGCCTTTCTTAAATTCTGTATATTCTATCATATAGCAAATTAATATTGTGCAACAATATATTCCTTCAATAAATAGCGTTTTCTTAACTTCTTCCCTATTCCTTCATATTTTCATATATGCAAGGCTAATTTTGTGCCATTTCATTGACGCTTTTTGATACTAAAAAAAATGCTTTTTCTAAATTTATTTCAGTTCCTTCTCCTTTGTGATAACATGGCTAAATTAAACATTGCAATAATATTACCATTTTCTGCTGCTTTTTGATACCAATAAAATGCTTTTTCTAAATTCTCTTCAACTCCTTTTCCAAACTGATAACACAAAGCTAAATTATTCATTGCAACTTTATTATGATTTTCTGCTGCCTTTTGATACCAATAAAATGCTTTTTCTGAATTTTTTTTTATTCCTTCACCTTTTTCATATAATAACGCAAGGCTGTATTGTGCTATTTTATTATTATTTTTTGCTGCCTTTTGATACCAATAAAATGCTTTTTCTAAATTCTTTTCAATTTCTTGTCCTTTTTGAAAACATCGAGCTAGATTATACATTGCAACTATATTATCATCATCTGCTGCTTTTTGATACCAATAAAATTCTTTCTCCAAATTTTTTTCTATTTCTTTACCATTGTAATATAATATTGCAAGAAAGATTTGCATATTAATATTATTATTTTCTGCTGCTTTTTGATACCAATAAAATGCCTTTTCCAAATCCTTTTCAGTTTCATCTCCATATTGATAAAATAAGGCTAAATTATACATTGCAACTATATTATCATTTTCTGCTGCTTTTTGATACCAATAAAAGGCCTTTTTTAAATTCTTTTCTACTCCTTCTCCTTTATCATACAATAATGCAAGATTATTTTGTGCATTATTATTATTATTTTCTGCTGCTTTTTGATACCAATAAAATGCTTTTTGTAAATTTTTTTCTATTATTTGTCCATTTTGATAACATAGAGCTAAATTAAACATTGCAATTGTATTATTATTTTTTGCTGCTTTTTGATACCAATAAAATGCTTTTTGTAAATTTAATTCAGTTCCTTTTCCATTTTGATAACACAAAGCTAAATTATTTATTGCAGTTATATTACCATTTATTGTTGCTTTATGATACCAAAAAAATGCTTTTTCTAAATTTATTTCAATTCCTTTTCCATTTTGATAGCATAAAGCTAAATTATTCATTGCAATTATATTACCATTTTCTGCTGCTTTATAATACCAATAAAATGCCTTTTCTAAATTCTTTTCAGTTCCTTCTCCATTATAATAATATAGAGCTAAATTATTCATTGCTATTTTATTACCATTTTCTGCTACTTTATAATACCAATAAAATGCCTTTTCTAAATTTATTTCTATTTCTTCACCTTTTTCATATAATAATGCAAGATTAAATTGTGCTATTTTATTATTATTTTCTGCTGCTCTTTGATACCAATAAAATGCTTTTTCAAAATTCTTTTCGATTTTTTGTCCATTTTGAAAACATTGAGCTAAATTATATATTGCAACTATATTATCATTTTCTGCTACATTATAATACCAATCAAATTCTTTTACTAAACATTTTTCTATTTCTTTACCATTATAATATAATATTGCAAGAAAATTTTGTGCATTATCATTATTATTTTCTGCTGCTTTTTGATACCAATAAAAAGCTTTTTTATAATTACTTTTAGTTCCTTCTCCATATTGAAAACATAAAGCTAAATTATACATTGCAATTATATTATCATTTTCTGCTGCTTTTTGATACCAATAAAATGCTTTTTTTAAGTTCTTTTCTATTGCTTTTCCTTTATCATACAATAATGCAAGATTATTTTGTGCATTATTATTACCATTTATTGCTGCTTTTTGATACCAATAAAATGCTTTTTCTAAATTCATTTCTAAATTTTTATTATGTTCATATAATACTGCAAGATTATATTGTGCATTAACATATTCCTTTTCTGCTGCTTTTTGATACCAATAAAATGCTTTTTCTAGATTTTTTTCTATTCCTTCACCTTTTTCATATAATAATGCAAGACTAAATTGTGCTATTTTATTATTTTTATCTGCTGCTTTTTGATACCAATAAAATGCTTTTTCATAATTCATTTCTGTTCCTTCACCCTGTTTATATAAAAATGCAAGATTATTTTGTGCAATTTCATTACCCTTTTCTGCTGCTTTTTGATACCAATAAAAGGCTTGTTTTAGATTCTTTTTTGAGCCTTCACCCTGATTATATAAATAAGCTAGAGAAGTTTGTGCTGTTTCATATCCTTTTTTAGCTAAATCTTTACAAATTTTAAATGCTTTTTTTTTATTTATATCAGTTCCGATTCCAAAATAATAGCAAATTCCAAGCTTATATATTCCATTTATAAATTCTTTCTTATGAAATTGTTTATATATTTCAAAAGCTTTACTTTCATTTTTTTCAATGCCTATTCCAAGTTCATAACATCTACCTAAATTAAATAATCCACATAAATTTCCATTATTAGCCGCTTTGTTATACCAATAAAAAGCTTTATTTAAATTTTTATCATTTGCTATATTATTTTCATAATAAATACCAAGATTAAGTTGCCCACAAATGCTTTCATTTTCTACGGCTTGTTGTATCCATTTAAAAGCAAAATCATAATTTATCTCAATTCCAAATCCTTCTTTATAGCAATTTGCAAGATAAACCTGCGCAATAGGATAATTATCTTCCGAGACTCTTAAAAATAAATCAAATGCTTCTTTGTAATTTTTCGCAAGGCAAGTATTGCTAAAATACAAAAATCCCAAGAAAAATTGATATTTCGATTTCACTTGATTCTCGTTAAGCCATTCAAAGATTTCATTTAAAGTTCGATTTGAAAGATATATACAATGACTAACAAAATAGTCTGTTTCAATAAAATTATTTCCTTCATTTTGTGTTTTAATTAAAAGCCTAATTAACTTATCAACAAGAATATTTATACTATCTTCTTTATCATAAATTTCCAAAAATAAATGTTCTGCTTGACATAATATATGTTGTGAATTGCATTCATTATATATTGATTCCAAATTCAAATCCTGCATTAATTTACTTAGAAACAACTCAGAATTATTACTAGGCATGCATTCAATGTTTACAGTTTCCGTTTTATTTTCTGGCTGAATGTTTGAATCAATTTCAACATTAGTTTTTCCAAAAATTATTGCTTGAAGCGATTCAACTACTTGTTGCATAGTAGGACGTTCATTCGGATCATCTTTCCAACATGCTAACAATGAATTATTAAAAATTTAAAAGGTTGATTTAATTAATTATGAATGCACATAAATAAAATATTACGTATGTTTACCTTGATACAGGTTACTATATTCGATAGGAGTATTCATGACAATTTTTTCTCTCATGCCTTCTTTAATTTTCATAATTAAATCTGCGTCATACTCTACATTTTCGGCATAAAAAGGTTTATGTCCACTAGAAATTTGCCAAAGAAGGATTCCAACACTATAAACATCAGACTTTGGGTTTAATATATAATGTTGGTCTTTGTTCTTATTTTGAATGTTATTTAAATATCCTGGATCAACATAAGGGACAACACCAAACACATCTGTTGAATAACTTGACGCATCAGTTATTTTTCGCGACAGACCAA